TAGCTAGATCCGATTGCGCTTTGGTTGGCGAAGCAACAAAACGTCCTTACATGGCGCAAGCCATTGAAATGAATGGGTTTCATAGCGCAGCGCGCGCATGCCGCGTCCTGTTGCAAAAGCATGTGAAAGAAAACCGCAAAGTTTGCTAGGCCAAAAAGACTGATAATCGTGCGATAAAAATTAACGCCGTTAAAATGGGTTTGTGTTAACGCCATTAATAACGCGTTTAACTGACAGCCCTAATTCAAACATTTGTGTCTCATCAAGAGAAACTGATATTTTGGAAAAGTTAAAATCAAACAACCAGAGCTGTTGAGATGAAAAAAAACTGTATCTGTAAAAACAAATGCATTAAACTTCAGCATTATCTAATCATGTTAATGAAACGTCTTGGTTACGGATGTAACCCTCGTTCCCTGAGTAGGGAACGGAGACGTTACGTCAGAAGTGACGGAGATTGGGGGTTTCGCATAGAAAGCCAATCCTCTTCGAGTATTTAATCACTAGCCAATGGCATGCAATGCCTTGGGGCTGCGGAATTTTGCATAGCGTACTCCGCCCTACTCCGTGAGTATAAAAGGAGGAAGTGAACGCAACCGCAGTATGTCTTCGCTGAGGAGCCAAGACTGAACTCAGGCGTCTACCCAGCGGTACAGCAGAAGTGGCAGGGAGACGTAACGTCTCCGTTCCCTACTCAGGGAACGAGGGTTATATCCGTAACCGAGACGTTCCCTTTCGTAGTCACTTCGAGTTACGTCAGAAGTGACGGAGATTGGGGGTCAATGCCATCACGCCATCTTACAGCTGTCTTCCAGTGCCCTGCGAAAGTCTAGACCCCTGAACCTAGGTATCACCAGGAGATCCTACTTTGACACAGGAATACCAAGGTACACTGGGAAACATATCCCGGGAGAGACATGCTACCAGATGCCTACCGTAGGGAGGACTTACGAATACACATATGGTCGCATAGGGACGCATATGGAGATCACTGGAGCACCAACCGCAGGTGGTTACTAGAATTAACTCCAGGGGTGGCAGATGGCTTGCCAAGGGAAGACACATGCTCAGAGAGGCTTACAGTGGAATACACATGAGACAGTTACCATAGGGAACCGTGCACATGGAGGCACCTAGCCGGCATCCAGAGCAACAGCAGTGGTGCCCGCATCATGGGTGCTGGAGGACTCAAGGCTTCAACGGAAGACTACTGAGGAATATCGCACTTATCCAGTCCGAGGAGTGGAATGGCGAGCAAGCGAAGACACCTGAGCGGGTCCAATACTGGCGGAAGCGAGTACGTGAGAGGACACCGGTTCGATTCGCAGATTATAGAATCTTCCGAAGGTGTTTGGTGTTGCCCAGGCTGCAGCTCTGCAATGTCTGTTAGCGAGGCGCCATGCGCTAGAGCCCAAAAGGAGGCCACACTCCGAGTGGAATGGGCCGTCACACCAAGAGGGCACGGTCGAACTTGCTGCTGGTAAGACAAAGCAATGGCGTCCACTATCCAGTGAGACGGCCATTGCTTTGAGAGAGCCCTTCCCTTCTGGCTCCCCCCATGACAGACAAGAGCTGGTCTGAGGTCCTGAAACACAGCGTTCTGTCGACGTAGGTGCGGAGTGCACGTACTGGACAGAGCAGTGCCAAGGCTGGGTCTGCCTCCTCCAGGGGCAGCGCTTGCAGGTTCACCACCTGGTCCCGAAAGGGAGTGGTGGGAACCTTGGGCACATATCCAGGCTGGGGTCTACGTGAGAGTAAGCCGGTCCGAAACTCCAGGCACGCTTCGTCAACGGAGAATGCGTGCAGGTCCCCCACCCTCTTGAAGGAGGCCAATGCAACCAGGAGTGCCATCCTCATAGGACAGAACTTAACTCTACCGATTGCAAAGGCTCAAGGGGAGCCTCTGCAGAGCACTTATATCTACTGAGAGGTCCCAAGAGGGCACGAGGGGAGGGTGAGGCAGATCTCGCCTCCACGATCCCCTCAGGAACCTGATGACCAGGTCATGCTTCCCCTAGACTTACCTTTCACTGCATCATGAGACGCGGCAATGGCCGTGACATGAACCCTAAGGGTGGAGGGTGACAGCCTACGCTCCAACCCTTCTTGCAGGAAGGAAAGCACGACACCGATCGAACATCTCCGGGGGTCTTCTCCGCGAGAAGAGCACCAGTTGACGAAGAGGTTCCACTTCAACGCATAAAGATGTCCCGTGGACGACGCTCTAGCGGAAGTGATGGTTGCCACCACCGCAGGTAGCAGCGAACTCAAACCTGCCCCGTCCCGTCCAGGAGCCACACGTGTAGCCTCCACAGTTCGGGACGAGGGTGCCACAGAGTGCCCCGTCTCTGAGTGAGTAGATCCTGTCTCAGAGGAATAGGCCAAGGAGATGCTGTCGCGAGGAGCATGAGTTCGGAGAACCATGTCTTGGTGGGCCAATAGGGGGCTACCAGCAAGACCTGCTCCTCGTCCTCCTTGATCTTGCACAACACCCGTGCAAGAAGGCTCACTGGGGAAAACGCATACTTGCGTGGGCCCCGCGGCCAGCTGTGCGCTAGTGCATCTGTGCCGAGCGTGCCCTCGGACAGGGAAAAAAACTGGGCGCAGTGGGATGAGTCCCGGGAGGCGAACAGAAGTATCTGTGCCTCCCCGAACTGGTCCCAATCAGCTGGGCCGTCTGGGGATGGAGTCCCCAGGAGATTCGCCGGAGATAGGGCAGACCCGACCGCTCGACGGCCGCCAGGTTTCGGTCTCCTGGAATGTGCACTGCACGAAGGGATCTCAGGTGCTTCTGACTCCATATCAGGAGGTGGCGGGCGAGCTGCGACAACCGGCGTAAGCGTAGACCACCCTGGTGGTTGAAGTAAACTACTGCAGCGGTGTTGTCTGAACGGACAAGTACGTGTTGACCCGTGAGCAGTGCTCGAAAGCGGTGCAGAGCCAGGCGTACTGTCAGCAGCTCGAGGCAATTGATGTGCATGAGGCACTGGGGTCCTGTCCAGGAACCCGCGGCTGCATGCCCATTGCACATGGCACCCCAACCCGTGGTAGATTATTTTGGAGAAGGTACGGCGGCCCGCTGGAGTCACTGGAACTCGAAGCGAGCCGCGATGCCATGCCCACCTCGGGACTCGATCGCGAAGCCACAGCTAAAGCGGTCTCATATGAAGCAATCCGAGCGGCGTTGCCGCGGCTGCGGATGCCATATGCCCCAGGAGCCTCTGAAAGAGTTTCAGTGGGACCGCATTCTTGCCCTCGAACTGTCGAAGACAAGTCAGCAGTGAGTGTGCGCGCTCGTTCGTGAGGTGCGCGGACATGGCGACCGAGTCTATCTCCATGCCGAGAAAAGAGATCCTCTGCACGGGGCAAAGTTTGCTCTTCTCCCGGTTGACCCGAAGGCCCAGACGGGCTAGGTGCCGGAGCACCAGGTCTCTGTGTTGGCAAAGCTGTTCTCGAGAGTGTGCCAGTATCAGCCAATCGTCGAGATAATTCAGGATGCGAACCCCGTGTTCGCGAAGGGGAACAAGGGCTGCCTCAACGATCTTCGTGAAGACGCGAGGCGACAGAGCTAACCCGAAAGGAAGAACCGTGTACTGATGCCTGGCCTCGAGGCAAACTGAGAACGGTCTGTGTCGAAGCAAAATGGAGACATGAAAGTACGCGTTCTTTAGGTCAATCGCTGCAAACCAATCCTGCGGCCGGACGCATTCGAAAATGTGTTTGGCTGTGAGCATTTTGAACGGTGGCTCAAAATGCGTAGATCCAGGATCGGTCGTAACCCACCGGTCTTCTTGGGGACAGTGAAGTATGGGCTGTAAACCCGGACCTCACCTCGGCTGGAGGGACCGTCTCGATTGCACCCTTCGCCAGCAGGGTCGCAATCTCCGCTCTCATGACCGGGGCATAGCAACCGACCACCGCGGAGCGAACTCCTCTGAAACGGGGAGGAGACCTCGCGAACTGAGTCGCGTAGCTGAATCTGATCGTTCTGATGACGCAGCGGGACAGGTCGAGGAGCTCTAGCCAGGCTCCCAGGAACTGAACCAGCGGAGTCATGCGAACCACAGACGTCCCCCCGGAGGGGCAGCGGTACAGGGAGACCGACATGCACACAGGAGTTACCCTGTGTGGATGCACAGTCGAGCCCCGTTCCCCGACAGAAGAGACCAGGGAAGGACCAGCGTTCCACGGGGGTCTGTTCTGCCGGGGGTCTGGTGATAGAGGGGGAGGGGAGTGGTGTAGTCGAGGGACGACACATGCTCCCATCCGCACCCTCTGAGACAGAGAGGAATGAGCGGGGCGACGCACTGGGCGTCGTGCGCGCTCATTCCAGTCTGTGTGCTCAATTATAGTGTCAGTTTTTCTTCAACCAGCTCAAGGCTGGAGGAGCTAGCTAGAACAAAAGATTCTCCACCGGCCCTCCACCGGGGGAAGGAGGGGCCCTGCTACCGCCTCCTGAGAAAAACCATGACACTATCACTGAGCAGCCCGTCTCAGGAACTCATCATTGTGTTTCTAAAACATAGAAACAGTCAAAATGTATATTGGAATTTATTGGACAAACTTTTTTTCCTAAGAAGATTTTCATGAATTTTCATTTTTCCAAGAGCAATTTTTTAATGTATGTATTCTCGAGCTTGTCAATAGTTCTCCAAGATAATCATAATGGAAACTTTGAGGAACTTGAAATATATATCGGAGTTCCTTTAGTTCACAATAATTATATGTGAGCTTCAATGTTTTAGTCTGAAGAATCACAAATAAAGCGTCAATTATCTTTTCACTTTTACTCTGTTGAGTTTGTTCTGGACTTGAGTAGATGAAGAAAAGAAAAACATTCTCAAAAATAGTTTATAATATTAATTTATAATACCAGAACTAGTATGATCTAAAATGTATCTACTACTTGCTACAAACTGAAATAACCTAGTGCTTTTGTGTCACTATAAACCCATGCATGATTTCCAGTGTGTAACAGCACAGATCTTCTCCAGACTCACTGTTTTGGATGATGTCCTGCATCTTCTTCCAGACTCTGAACGGCAGGTTGCCCAAGTATCGTGACACATGGATCAAAGCTCCAGAAGCCATCTGTGGATCCGGCCGTGAGCTCTGGACTCTGGAGGAACATTCAGGAGTCAGAACTGCAGTGGATCAGAACCAGAGAGACCAGAGACACTAGCAGATCACTCACCTTTCCATTGAGACTGGAAACTCCTGCAGAACAAACACACCATTTATCATCAAGAGATCAATCAAGAAATCAATCAATCAAACAATGATGTGAAATTAGACCTTCAGAAAGCAGACATCATTGGCTCTCATCATCCCCTCCATGTCTTGGATTGTGTGTGAAAGATCTGAGATGTGTCTGTTCATCTCCTCCAGCTTCTCCTTCATCCTCTGCTTCTTCTGCTCCTCTTCCTCCCTCAGTGAAGTGATTGTAGCTTCTTCTTCATCTCTGAGAAACTGATGAAGCTTCTCAAACTTCTGTTTAATCTGAAGCTCTGTGCACTCAGCTTGAGACTGAAATCAAAATCACTTTGACTTCAATCATCTCAAAAGATCAGTGGGGTTTAGTTTACTACAACTTTAACTTTCTGAAGTAGTACTGTAGTAGTTAATGTTCTGTGTCTGGTGTTTTAAGAAGATTATGTGAAATAATTTGAAAGTATACACATCAAAATCTCCAGAGTTAAATTAACTCTTTAGCAGAGATGGGAGTAAGTCACACATGTTCAAGTCTCAAGTCCCTACCATCAAGCAGAGGTGGAAAGTCCAGAGTTCAGAAAGTAAAAGTCCAGCCATATTTTTATTCCACCCATGAACTCACACAGCAAAAACTCCAGTGTTAAATGAACTTTCCTAGGAGTTCATTTGGCTCCAGACTCAAGAGTGTTAAAGTGTTAAAATTAGTGTTAAATTAACACTCAATAGAGTTAAAGTTAATAAGATTATTAAATGATTGTTTGAGTGATGATTGGCCATTATTGAAGACACCTGATATTAACAAGCAGAATCAACAAAGGAGAAAAATCACATTTTAGTCACCATTATGGTGATCGGTATTTGCCTTAGTTGGGCTCTTGATCCTTTTACTATTAACATTAGATTTAGTTTGGCTACTGTAACTGAGTTATAACTGCCAGATGAGAAAAGTTCATCAGGTAGTGTTGGTTATGTTTTAACATAATCATGATTTGACCTGAATCACTGAACTCATTTAAAAAACATATTTTCCCCCCCAAATATATGCATTTATAGTGTCTATATAAACAACTAAATATTTTATAATTAGATTATTATTATACATGTCCGATTGCTGTAGGCTTATATACAGTAGCAGGGCATTCAGGTTTATTTGACAGGTGTCAGTTTATTTCATCATGCTGCAAATTCCTCAGAATTAAAGGGATAGTTCACTTTGAAATTAATTTTTGATATGTTTTATCTTAGCTCAAGGGCATCTAAGATGTAGGTGTCTTTGTTTCCACAGTATTTTCAATTTTGACATTTTTCAGTCAAACCGTTGTTGTCTATCAGTCATATAATGCAGGTATGGGGGTCCACGTCAAAGAGCATGCACAGAGAAGGCCAAATGAAACATGATTTAATGATGATAAATGTTAGTACACATTGATGGCCTAAGACACGAAACGAGCGGTTTGTGTGAGAAAACGAACAGTATTTATATTGTTTTTAAAGTACCTCATGTAACCACAGCCATGTCCAACTGATCTGAATCAGTTGTCCAATGTCCAACTGAACCGTGTCCAACGTTCCGCCGGAAGTGATCGCTTGCGTGTGTACGTCACTCATTGTTTACACAGAGATTTCGGAAGTTCTACCTTGTCCCAATGTCTGAGTTAGGTTTACTTTATTAATTATAGCAGCACTGACCTTGTACAACATTATTTTTTTAACTTAATAGTTAAAAAATGTAATAAAAATGTAATAAAAACAATTTCTTAAAAGTTTCTCTTATACAACTTTTTTTTACAGACAAACATCAAGAATCAGCCTTTGAATCTCAACAATGGTGAAAATTATGGGCATTCAGCATGCAGCAGCGGCGTTCGTGGATGAGTCATGTTCCTTCTGTGGGAACATGACCATCGCAACACTTAGATCTAGACTCAATGATCTTACAGTGAGAGTCCCCGTGTCCGCTACTCGTTCTGCTTCCTCTTTCCAGAGGAAGCTCTTCGACTCGCGGACAGGGTGATCTGACGGTGACGGTGTGGAACAAACCCCCGACGCTGGTTCCTCGGGCCACACCCACCGCACCAGTGTTGGAGCCAGCGAGCACCGAATCGATTCAGGCGTCTGCCTCCTCGCAGGTACCGTCTGTTTCGTTCGGTGCTCCAGAGGATGATGCGATGTCGATCGCAGCATCACAAGGTGGGCTACTTGTGATGGAACTTTATTTATTTATTTATTTTTTTGATAACTCTGAGATTGCTTGGGCTTCTCCTGTTCTAAGCTGTTCTTATCTTTGCTGTACTGTTATATGATGTACTGCTATGCATGGTGTTAATGTCTTTTAACCTTTTTTTTTTAGTTCTGTAAAGCACGCGCCCCGCTAAACGCCAGGCGAAGCGGCGTCCCTGAGACGGGCTGCTCAGTGATGGAGTCGAGTTTTTCCCGGGAGGTGGTAGCAGGCCCCCTCCCCCTCCAAAAGAATCTTTTGTTCTAAGTAAAGAAAGACTTGACACCATCACTGAGCACACAGACTGGAATGAGTGTGCATGGCGCCCCCGTGCGTCGCCCCACTCATTCCCCTCTGTCTCTGAGAGTGCGGAAGGAAGCGTGTGTCGTCCCTCGACCACGCCGCTCCCCTCCCCCTCTATCGCCAGACCCCCGGCAGAACAGACCCCACGTGGAACGCTGGTCCTTCCCTGGTCTCTTCTGTCGGGGAGCAGGGCTCGACTGTGCACCCGCACGGGGTAACTCCCGTGTGAATGCCGGTCTCCCCGCCTCACTGTCCCTCCGGGGGGATGTCTGTGGTTCGCATGACCCCGCTGGATCAGTTTCTGGGAGCTTGGTTAGAGCTCCCCGGGCTATCCCGCTGGGTCGCCAGAACAATCAGACTCGGCTGTGCGATTCAGTTCGCACGGTCTCCTCCCCGCTTCCGGGAGTTCGCTTCACGGTGGTCGGTGGCAATGCCCCGGTCATGAGAGCGGAGATTGCAACCCTGCTGGCAAAAGGTGCAATCAAGACGGTCCCTCCAGCCGAGATGAGGTCAGGGTTCTACAGCCCCTACTTCATTGTCCCCAAGAAGACCGGTGGGCTATGACCGATCCTGGATCTCCGCATTTTGAACCGTACTCTTCACCGATTGCAGTTCAAAATGTTCACAGCCAAACACATTTTCGAGTGCGTCCGGCCTCAGGATTGGTTTGCAGCGATAGACCTGAAGGACGCGTACTTTCATGTCTTCATCTTGCCTCGACACAGACCGTTTCTTCGGTTTGCTTTCGAGGGACAGGCATACCAGTACATGGTTCTTCCATTCGGGTTAGCTCTGTCGCCTCGCGTCTTTACGAAGATCGTCGAGGCAGCCCTTGTTCCCCTTCGCGAACACGGGGTTCGCATCCTGAACTATCTCGACGATTGGCTGATCCTGGCACACTCTCGAGAACAGGTTTGCGAACACAGAGACCTGGTGCTCCGGCACCTAGCCCGTCTGGGCCTTCGGGTCAACCGGGAGAAGAGCAAACTTTGCCCCGTGCAGAGGATCTCTTTTCTCGGTGTGGAGATAGACTTGGTCGCCATGTCCGCGCAGCTCACGAGCGAGTGCGCGCACTCACTGCTGACTTGTCTTCGACAGTTCGAGGGCAAGAGTGCGGTTCCACTGAAAATTTTTCAGAGGCTCCTGGGGCATATGGCATCCGCAGCCGCGGCTACGCCGCTCGGACTGCTTCATATGAGACCGCTTCAGCTGTGGCTTCGCCATCGAGTCCCGAGGTGGGTATGGCATCACGGCTCGCTCGGAGTCCCAGTGACTCCGGCTTGCCGCTAGACCTTCTTCCTGTGGTCGAACCTCAGCTTTTTACGGGCCGGGGTCCCTCTTCTGCAAGTTTCCAGGCATGTCGTTGTCTCCACGGATGCCTCTACCACGGGTTGGGGAGCCATGTGCAATGGGCATGCAGCCGCGGGTTCCTGGACAGGACCCCAGCACCTCATGCACATCAATTGCCTAGAGCTGCTGGCAGTATGCCTGGCTCTGCACCGCTTTCGAGCACTGCTCAGGGGTCAACACGTACTTGTCCGTTCGGACAATACCGCTACGGTAGCGTATATCAACCACCAGGGTGGTCTACGCTCACGTCGGATGTCGCAGCTCGCACGCCACCTCCTGTTATGGAGTCAGAAGCACCTGAGGTCCATTTACATTCCAGGAGACCGGAACCTGGCAGCCGACGAGCTGTCACGGATCTGTCCTATCTCCGGCGAATGGCGACTCCATCCTTTGCCGCGTCTCATGAAGCAGTTGAAGGTAAGTCTTTGGGAAAGCACAACCTGGTCATCAGGTTCCTGAGGGGAGCGAGGAGACTGAATCCTCCTCGCCCTCCCCTCGTGTCCTCTTGGGACCTCCCAGTAGTCTTAAGTGGTCTGCAGAGGCCTCCCTTTGAGCCCTTGCAATCGGTAGAGATTAAGTTTCTGTCCATGAAGACAGCACTCCTGGTTGCATTGGCCTCCATCAAGAGGGTAGGGGACCTGCACGCATTCTCCGTTGATGAAGCGTGCCTGGAATTCGGGCCGGCTTACTCTCACGTGATCTTGAGACCCCGGCCTGGATATGTGCCCAAGGTTCCTACCACTCCCTTCCGGGACGAGGTGGTGAACCTGCAAGCGCTGCCCCTGAAGGAGGCAGACCCAGCCTTGGCACTGCTCTGTCCAGTACGTGCGCTCCGCCCCTACGTTGACAGAACACGGTGTTTCAGGACCTCAGACCAGCTCTTTGTCTGTTATGGGGGGAGCCAGAAGGGAAGGGCTCTCTCAAAGCAACGGCTGTCTCACTGGATAGTGGACGCCATCGCTTTGGCTTACCAGCAGCAAGGTCGACCGTGCCCCCTTGGTGTGACGGCCCACTCCACTCGGAGTGTGGCTTCCTCTTGGGCTTTAGCGCATGGCGCCTCGCTAACAGACATATGCAGAGCTGCAGGCTGGGCGACACAGAACACGTTCGCAAGATTCTATAATCTGCGAGTGGAGCCTGTGTCCTCTCGTGTACTCGCTTCCGCCAGTACTGGACCCGCTCAGGTGTCTTCGCTTGCTCGCCATTCCACTCCTCGGACTGGATAAGTGTGATATCCCTCAGTTGAGTCTTCCATTGAAGCCCTGAGTCCTCCAGCATTTCTGATGCTGGCACCACTGCATTGCTAGGTGCCTCCGTGTGTTCGGTTCCTGCTGGTAACTGTCACATGTGTATTCTCCACTGTAAGCCTCTCTGAGCATGTGTCTTCCCTTGGCAAGCCATCTGCCATTCCTGGAGTGAAGTTTCTAGCCACCCTTAGGTTGGT